CAAATTGATTTATCAATTTTCTAAGGTTATACCGCCTCACAGTAGTTTCTGCAAGCTTGTCTGGAAATATTATCTACTGAAATATTATGCTGCTACTTCTACCCAGAAGGAAGATTCCACATATATATTTATATAAACCAACCGGAGCACGATATAATCCATAAAGCAGTTATCTTCTCTTTTTCACATTTAAGCTGTCCAAGTTAAAGATGCTATCATATGTAATACAGGCCTGAAAGTGGACCCTTTTGAGAGCAATGTCTGAGGATGCGTGGAAAGTACACACAAAATGCTGATCACAGAACAAGCTTTTCAAGTTCTCAAGACTGCTTTAAATTTTATCTCTGCAAAAATCTGTGCACATTTTGGAATCCGCCACATACTACTAATAATTACAGTGGTGCCCCGCTTAACTATTACCCCGCTCCACAACGAATCTGCTTAACGATTCGGGTTTTGCGATCGCTTTTGCAATCGCAAAACGATGTTTAGATAGCAAAAAGACCGTTTTACAATGATCGGTTCCCTGCTTCGGGAACCGATTTTTCGCTTTACGACGATCAAAACAGCTGATCGTCGGGTTTCCAAAATGGCCGCCCGCTGTTCAAAATGGCTCCCCACTGTGTTAGGGAAGGATTCTTCGCTCTACAGGGAGCAGAAAATTGCCACCCTATGGAGGATCTTCGCTTTACAATGGAGTATTTTGCCCATTAGAATGCATTAGCTGGTTTCTAATGCATTCTAATGGGCTTTTTACTTTCGCTTGACGACGATTTCGCTCCATAGCAATTTCGCTGGAATGGATTAACATCGTTAAGTGAGGCACCACTGTATGTGCCATCAAATCAATTCCAACTCACAACCCTTCTGGTTTTTTCACAGTGGCTCCTCCTGGTGGTGCTCCAGGACTGGGCAGCTTGGCCAAGACTACATATATGGGCTAGCTTTTTTTGTGACAGACACAAGGGAGAACTGAACTCCTGGTCACTAGCTCCACAGCCATATGCTCCAACCCATTGTGCTACCCAGCTAGCTCCCTGTTAATTGTGTGGTGTTAATTCAAATTCCACTAAGAGCCAGGTTCTTTCAATGGGAATAGTTTATATGGACAGAGTTGTGGGTATTCTGTCCTTACTGCATGTGGATGCTGGGCATTAAATGTAATGCCCAGCATCCAGAGTGTGAGTTTTATTTCTCTTTTCGAAGAAACTGAACACCAATGTCCAAACTGAAAGGATCCAGAAACTTACATTAGGCACAATGAAAATAGGATGTCTAGCAACATTTCTCTGATCTGTGCACTTGCCCCGGAGCTCCCTCCAGCCAGTTTACTTCCCGCTTCGAATGAAGTATTTCTCTGAGCTGTGCACTTGTTCCGGAGCTCCCTCGGGGTTGTGCATAGGAAGCCAGCAGCCAGTTTACTTCCCGCTTCGAATGAAGCCTCACCCACCTCCATGTACAGAGAGCAAGGCACCTGCGCAGCAACAGAGAAAATTAGAGGGAACATTGATAACTGGCTCTTGAGGCTGAACCCAACGGTCAGTTTCAGGTAGTCTACTGCCACTGAATGAATGGGCCCTACTAAGTCCACATATAAAGAAATCACAATGATTCAACAGGTCTAGTATCGATTGGATTTATTTCATTTATAACCTCCCTCTCTTCTATGATGGAACTTACGGCAGCATATTTGAAAACTTCTGGGCAGTGTTCCAGTCAGATACTGAGCACACACATGAATCTGTCCATTTCCTGACTATATCCTGAAAATCCGACTGCAGAACCTGGTACGGCATCACAAATTAAGTTTATGGATGCTCTCTGTTTAGCAAAGGGTTTGCCATGAGCTGTTATGAACCACTGGCTCAAACTTGCAGTTCTCCCTTGGGCGCACAGGTCCTGTAAGCACGACTCTCAGAAAGCCACAGTCCAGATCCAACGTCTCCAGTTAATGACTAGCAAAGCATGAGAGGTGGCTTTGGGTACCCACTGAGCTGTATTTCTAATAGTCAGCACCCTGTGTAATACTTTGCCACCACATACCATGTGGATAACTAGGACAATGTTATGCAGTTTTTAAACTGGGTTTAATGGCACTCAAAATATTGCCCTAGGTATAGTCAGCTGTATCAATTCTGCAAAACTGAATTACTGCCTACTGCAGAATCATACTTTATCCTCAGATCAGTAGCAGCAGTTAACAGTTAAGAAGTTAAACCATCAATTACCCATTTATTTTTCACCCTTAAGGCAAACCAAACAAAAAAGAATGCAGAGGTTGTCATCCCTTTATCACAAAGTCTCCAGTTCTTGGGCTTTAACAAGATGAAATTACAGTCTTGTCAAATAATCTGCGAAACCATTTCTGTATGGATCGCATAATTAGAATCAGCATCAAATAATGCTGAGTCTGCACGCCCCAAATCACTTCAAAAATCGTGTTATTGACTTCAGCAAGCTAACTGCACAACTGGAACACGGAAGTTTCAAAGCACAGGCAAGGCTGAGCTACATATTTTTTCTGCATCTGCGGTCACCGCACAGAAATCCTGGCCCTCCACTGCTGACATTTGAAGAGGTGATAACGCCAAGTATCCATGTATGTTAAACAGAAATAACCCAAGCCACCTCTCTTCCCTTTGCAAAAATAGCCAGGGCAAAAAAGCCACTATATTAGAATTTTTATACTGCTGGAACTTGGGCCCCTGCTGTTTAGAACAATTGTGGGTTTCATCTTCTTGCTATAGACCATTTTCAAAGGAGGACAAAAATGCATTTCTGAAATAGACTAGCCAGTTTTCGTGTCTCAATATGAGTGGGGTTTTTTTTCCCTTTCTTTTTTACAAAGCACTCACAGAGCTACCTTTAGATACACATTCTCCCTGCAATGGAAGCATAATTCATCTGTGTTCACAAACACATTTTTGCTTAAGGCCTTTCTTGCAGTACATCAAAGTGCACCTAGATAAAAAATCATTTTGCAAAATTACAAGTAATGAGCAGGCGCTACGTGGGCTGCAAGCTGACTATTACTAGCATCTGTTCTACGTATAATGAAGAGGGAGGAGCAAGGGTACACACAAGAGGGCCTTCCCTCCTGTTGCTCTCAGACTTTGGAACTCCTTCCCACAAGAGGCCAGTCCGGTCCCATCTTTGCTGTCCTTCAGTAATCAGGCGAAGGCTTGTCTCTTCAGACGAACTTCCCTTCAATGACCTGGGTGGGTTTTAAATGGATGGTTGTATCTTATCACTTTGAATGCATTTTGGCATTGCTTGTTCTTTCTTTTTTTTCTTTTTAGTATGGTACAGTATTTGTTTGGTTTTTTTTAAGTATCTGTATATTCACTGCTGTTAGTGTTAAATACTGTATTATAATGATGTAAGCCACCTTGAGTGCTTTTTTAGTATCTGTATATTCACTGCTGTTAGCGTTAAATACTGTATTATAATGACGTAAGCCACCTTGAGTCCTTTTTAAGAAGAAAGACAGCGCAAAAACTTTTTAAAGCCACTGTGATAGATCAGTGGCACTACGATCTCAACAGAAGCGACAAATTAAAAAAAGAGACAGAAGTATTTGAGATGCAGATTTATTGCATGGAATTAATAATCTGCTGCATTGAGAAGGTGACCAACAAAGGTAAAGGAATACAGACCAAGACAACAATAAAACAAAGAAAATGCAGAAAGCTAAAATAAGTTGAACTCTTGATGGGCAAAATGGTTGGTCAGTTGTGATGATCTACACAAAGTAAAAAAATCTGGGGAAAGTGCAGGGAAGAGAATGTCTTGGCTTAAAAATACAGGGAGGGGAGGGTTAGATGTAAAGACAATGTTAATGTTCAGAACTGTTACATCCTAAGTCAGTAAACCTCAAATGATGTTCAATCCAAGGCAGGAAAATAATGAAAATAAGCTAAATGGGCATCACTATTCCATGCCATTCAGAACAGGGACTCACTGGCCAGTGCTGACCAGTCGCTCTTTCTATCTGCATTATAGTGACAGCATTGAGGTTCTGAGGGAGAAGGTGACCAACAAAATTTTCATCTTCTAATGTGGCCCAGAGAAGGTGAAAGGTTGGACACCCCTATCTACATTATAGTGACAGCATTGAGGTTCTGAGGACTACAGTAAGGACGCAACTAAAACAACAGGCTGTAGGTATGGGGAAAATTGTTGGGGCACCACTACAGGCCAGCAGCAGTGTCATTCCACAGTCCCGACTAACTGGGGGGGGGGAAGGATTGTGAGACTAGTGTTAAGTGGGATACCCTGAGGATGCAAAGAAAGGTCTGACTATTTTTCTGATGGCTAAATGAAGAAACATGGCATCTTGGGAATGTGGACTGCTTCCAAATTTAACTGTGGGGGGGGGGAGGAAGCGCACAACATGCGACTGGTAAACATCTGGGAGATATCATGTAGAAAATACAGAGGTGGTGATTCACATTTAAGCACTTCTGGGAGCCTGCAGCACACATTTGTGCCTTCTTCCAAAACTTATCGTTCCATCAAATGTTACCGAGTCAACATTTTGCCTTCATTCGACCTTTTAAGTTAAGGATGGCTTTGCTCATTTCCACCTACAGATGTGCATTACCGAAGATCAAACAACCAGGTCACTCTAAATCTTCTTGAGAAGAAAAAAAAAACCAAGGCAAGCCGCAAGTGTCACCCAAGTAAGCAGTAGGTTTGATCTTATGAATATCGGCTACCCATCCTCCTTCTGAAAACAGGACTTTGATAACACAGCCCCCAACAGTAGGCGGCCATAAATGAATCAGAAGAACTCCGCTTTCTTCTCCCACCCATACAGTTGCATCAAGAGAGCCTGACTAGATGCTTGAAAGGAAAACTGTTGAGTAAACATATACCCAATCCCAAGAAGTGGGGGCATCAAAATACTACTTGGTGATTAGCACTCTTGCTTCGCCCAGCCCCTGTTCATAAATAACACCCTTCTCACATACTTAATCCTCTTATCATAATGTACTTACGATCTGAGGAATATTCTATTTGTGAGGATGGAACAGCTGCTCCCTCAGCTGGCTGAGGGGCAGCCAAATTGTTGTCGGCCTGAGCCTTGCGAACCAGAACTGCCAGAGGATGATCAGGATCAACCACCTTTAAAGGCTGCAGGAAAGGGGAGAGGGGTGGGGGTGCGGTTCAGGGAGAGAGGGAGGGAGCGAGAGGGAGAGAGAAGCTCATGAGATTTTGCCCCTTTAATGAATGAACAAACTTGCAATTTTTTCCCCTACTACAGAGACACAACTTCATCAAGCCCTATTCTAACATCTTGTTCTCAACGGTGTGAAACCGACCTGGACTTTCAAAACACTAGGTCTCCGGAGCATAAACTCTGCTGAGTTCTACCAGCTTGACAAGACATGGGGCTATATCTCAAATGTGTATTCTGTTGGAGGATAAACCTAGCCAAATAGGAAGAGATTACTGAACGATGACCTTGACAATCACAATCGCTACACATGGTATAAATGTGATCAATATGAGGGGATCCTCACCACAGACGTCACACATTTTCAAGATCCAGAAGCACAAACTATGGTTTCCTGAAACCAGCTGTAAATTTAAATCTTATGTACTCAGAGATGCTTCAAAAATAGATGCAGATCAACAGTATGCACCATAGGAATAGCATGACTGTAAAACAAAGTCCTTTGTCATCTGCCACTTAATGAAGTTAAATCAAAGGTAGCATTTAACTGAGTTGCCCACCAGCAATAGACACCTATGTATCCTATTTTCAGCACTTAACAATTTCAGGTAAAGAGTTTTTATAGCAGAGACTACTCAATTAAGAAGCCTCTATAGCTGACCTTGAGTTTTGTGCTTCGTTACAATGTGAGCCACCAAAATTAAATGCTTAACTCCAATTGAGATGCCATTATATTAGCTGAACCGTTTCTCATGGCAACCAGGAAGCACTATGAAAAAAAAATCTCTAGCAAGATTCTAAAATCCAGATCATTGCATTTTTAACTTCCAAGCAGGCTTCTGGGACTGGGATACAGTTAATACTGTACAGAAAACCATTTCAATATCATTACACAACACAGTGGCCTACCTGATGATCCCAAAGAACGAGTAAAACAAACAAATCAAAGAAATCCACAATATGTCTGCAGACCAGATGGGTCTTGGGATTCTAGCAAATCAGGAGTTTGGTTTTAAATAACAACAGCACTGTGAGTGCTATACAACTCTTAATACCAAGTTTTGCCAGACTATATACCTTCATAAGTTCTTCAAGTCTATTGCGCTTTTTAGAAGCAAAGAGACTCGGATGCAGGTAGTTGTCCCCATCATCGTCATCATCTTCCTCAGCAGAATCTCTTGCACCTGTGTAAGAAATGTATGGTTATAGTCTATCCTAACAGGTTGGTACAGAAGGCAGTGGCTTCCAGAATTTTTGCTACAGCAGATAAATCATAAATTAAAAACAAATACATTCCAGAACACGTCCATTTGAAATTTCACATGTGAGGACTGCAGAAAGAAAAGGCTTTTTTACACAAGTTTACGTTAAAAACCAGCTGTTATGGCCCTGCAGCATTGTCTTTCGAGATTTTGGAATATGCCAGCCAAGGTACTGTATGACCCACCAGTGTAACCCAACTGGCGTAAATTTCATGGGCAAATTGCTGCACGTTGTGACGTTTGCACAGAACGTCCTGCTATACAACACCCTATGCTAGCTTAACTTGCAGTGATTTGCCAATGAGATTTATACTAACTGCATTATGACAGTGTAAAAACGCAACAAAAATTTGGCCACTGAAAATTACATCTAAGCAAACTCAGCATGGATATAAAGAGAAGCAAAAACATTATTATTTTTTGCACTTTTGCTCCAATTGTCATGGCACTGGAATGAAAAATACATATGAAACTGCTTCTCTTAATTCTAGATCAAGAAAATTGAGTCTCTTAAAAACTAACCAGGTGTTAAATAAAGTCATTATAATACACCATGCTCTGACTGTTATGGAAGGAAAGAGACCAGATCGAAGTTTAGTTGTTGTGAGGCACAAATATACAATCCTCTGAAAAATTTAAGTGCTATTTTTTTCCCTAGCAGTTATTAGCTTTTCGTGGCAGAAAAGAGTAATGCAGGAAGAATCTGTCTGTAATTAGTGCAGCTCATTTAATGCATGCTCCAAACACTGAGCATGCACCAGGAAAAACAAGGGAACAGAAGTCTGCAGTTGATATATTCAAAACATGACTCTTTATTATACTGAAATACAATAATGTGAGAACTGCAGAGCTGGAAGGGGCCCTATGGATCACTGAGTCCAGCCCCTGTCCAGGAATCACACTGGGGAAGCAAACTTCCAACCTCTGGCTCTGCAGCCTGTGATGCCTCGTGGGACGAAAAACTCGCAAAACGAATGGTTTTGGCAATGGGGTTGATTTTTAAATGTTTTTCTATGATGTTTAACTTTTTAAACATCATAGAAAAACATTTAAAAATCAGCAAACATGAGGCAAGAACAAAAAATGGAAAACATTCGTCTTGCGAAGCATGGCCATAGGAACATTCGTCTTGCGAGTCATCAACCCCATCGCCAAAACCATTCGTCTTGTGAGTTTTTCGTCCTGCGAGGCATTCGTCCTGCGAGGCACCACTGTAGTGTGAGCACAAGCATCTGAATCATGATGCTTTTTCAGGAATCAGGTGCTTGATTTGGCCAACAAAAAATGGGAAGTGTGTGCCTCTGTACCCGTGTCTTCTGTAACCTGTGTCCTTATAGGTGTCCACATGAATCTTCAGTTTTCTTATTCTCAATATTTTCTTATGAAACTATGCAGCAGAGAATTTCAATAAAACACACACACAAATGTATGCAAGTCCAGCCTCTGTCAGGAAGGAAGACTGGAATGCACATTCAAAGACAGCTTTCTTTTAGCTTTAGGGGAGTCACATCAAAGAGGCTGAAACCGCAACTTCAACTTCAGTTCTTTTAAAAAGTAGCTTTTTAAAAAGTAACTTCACTAACTGTTGTTGAAAGTCAGGCCACGCCTGGGGAGCTCATCCTTCTAACACATTTAAACTTGGAATTATCATCTCACAGCAAGCTCCCTCGCCTTTGGTAGCTACATGCAAATCTGCAGCAGGAATCGGAGAACAGTTCCCTCAACCGTCAGATGCCAGAATGAATCTTGACAGAAATGCAAAAGCCTCAAGCTAATGCACATCCATTAATGTTTCACCAAAAAGAAAAAGAAAAAGAGAGGACCACTTACTATTTTCCTCCTCTTTCTTTTTTTCCGAATGAGCTGCATATCGTCCCTCCTTCATGGCTTTCTGGATAAATTTGTAGTAAGGGTTGAGGTAGTGGTCAAACCGCAGAAAATCAAACTGGGAGTTGCGGGCTTGCTTTGCTTTCAACATAATCTCAAACTGGGCCCCTTGCTTGCAGACAAAATTGGCAGTCCGTTCTATGATTGCATGCATTTTGGCTGTGGGTGGCTAGGACAAAAAAGAAAGAAAACACAGCTGCATCTGACATTCCACAGTTCCAACAATTACATTTTCCTGCTAGTGCAGAAAATGTACTCAAGACTTGAAACAGGAGTTAATCCATTTCCTATGGTTATGCTGATCATTCTTACTCACTCACTGGGGGTGGCTTACCACTCAAGTTGAAGCAGTTAGTGTGCACTTGCATGTTTATTAGCTAACAACGACAACGACAACAACAACAACAATAATGCACAGTCAAGTCAGTTTTGACGTATGGTGACCCTTTCTAAGGTTTTCGAGGTACAGAATACAGTTTACCAGCCCTTTCTTCTGGGTGTAACCTGGGACTGTACAGTTTGCCCAAAGCTGGCTCTCCTAACAGGATATACCATGGGGGAACTGAACTCTCAAACGCTGGCTCTGCAGCCAGAGGTAGAAAACTCATCAGTGGGACCTAAAAGAAGTTTAACAACAGAAATTCTCATCTCCATTTAGGAACTGAGATCAAATAACCAAACACAGCCTAATGTTTTACTGTGAGATGGCAAAGACTCAGTTTACCTTGAATCCTAAGAATAGGGCAGAAAGTTTGGCAGGCGCGCTATGTTCATATTGGCAAGTCGCAACCTACGTAAAGCCGTCTATACCCAAAAGAAAAACTCTTGAATTTCACTATTCCAAACCCAGTTCAGGAAAATCTAACCACAAATACCAAAAAGCTGAGATGATTATGATTAATAAAACCAAACTAGAGATGGGTCTCTATTTAAATAGTGAGTGGTCGGTCTGGCCCCGGGGGCTGGACCCTTGTTATCTGCACCTGTGGGGGGGATATCATATAAAAATACCCCTGTCTCTAGACCAAACCCATTGGGTTTGCAAGTTTAAAAATACATTTCAAGCCTTGAGGCTCCAACATGGAGTCTGTCTCCTCTGATGAGGCGTGTTCTATCAACAAGACACCCTATTTCAGAATAGACTCTTTTTTTCTTAGAAATTCCACACACAGAGGGGGACGAAGTCCTTCTGCACAGATATTCCAGGCCTTTTTCAAGGTAAATAAACACAGCTGCACTTCAACCTATTGCCCATGGTGAAAAAAACCCCCAACAAACCCAAACTTTCTGGGCAACTTATCCTTTACAAGCTTTGTAGAACTACACCGCCTCACAGTCTTTACTTAATTTTCCACTTCAGCAGCTCCTACTTTCCTTAATTACACAAACACATTCTCATTCTTTGTAAGCTAGCAATTTTAAAGAAGACACATTGCTACTAGAACCAGCAGTAAACGGAGCCTACTGCATAACGTCCTGTACAGAGCTGGCAACAGTTTGGTTTTTTGTATTTTTATATTTCTCTCTCTCTCTCTCTTTCTCTCTCTCTCTCACTCACTCACACACACACACACAGAAAATTCAGCATAACTCTCAATTGTGTAGTTGTCTCAAAAACAGATACAGGAGACCAGTAATTAATGGAATCATACCAAAAATCTTGATATTGACAGAGAGATTAGAAATGGTCTTATGTGCCACAGCTGTAACTATCTAATGTGCTTAAGTATCAGGTAAAACTATATTCCATTGTGCGTTAATGCAGAGCATTGTATGTTAATCCACACAAGATAGCTTAAAGAAATTAAATATAGAGCATCCTCTGCCAATAGCTCCAAAGAAGTGATAGGATCCTGCAGTGCTCCACATGCTGGATCACATCTTCGTTCATTCCTAATTATTGGCTATGCTGATAATTCCTAATTATTGGCAGGTTCTCTGCTGCTGATCAAATAGAAACCTGAAAATTGAGTGCAGTACCCCACAGAAAACAAATAAACCACTAGAACTGCAAGTTAAGGCAAAGATTTTTGCTTTCTTAATATACTGATCAGTATTTGCATGCTGTGGTGAGCATATGAGCATAGGCCTTAACAGCAAGGGTGTTTTCATGTGGATCAATTACCACATGGTTCAGGCCTATAAGACCTCACACAGATAATAAAATTAATTATTGGCCATCAAGATAATTCTGACTTACAAGCAATGCTTTTGAGGGCTTCCTAAATATAGAGTATTCAGATATGGTCAGTTCCAGACAAATGTTACACATATGTCTAGTCTAACAAGAAGACATTCCACATAGTGCCGTGAGCATGATTCTATATCCACAGACATGCACAGCCTCCAAAAACACAAACATTTCATTACTTAAGGGTAACCCTGGTTATTTTCTCTAGTAAGACTATAAACAATACAAGATTAGACAATCTCCATAACAAGATCTACTGGATGCATTTGAGACAAAGCATGACTATCCTTCTTAGACATGTTAACAGAAACTTTTTATTATTACTTTTCATCTCTGGAATTCAAAGCTACTAGACCTCAAACAGCCTGTTCATTCAAACTGTGAAATCCAGTTCACTGCTTATTTTGATATCCATTTTTTTTCTCTCTCTCTGTTTGTGTACACACACACAGAGAGAGAGAGAAAGAGAGAGAGAGAGATCTGCACACACTTACCAGTTCGACATCAGGAGGTACATTCAGTCCCGAAGGAGCTACAAAAGGTTCTTCATTTTCTTCTGTATTTTCTACCTTGGCTGCAGCTACTGTAAATCAGAAGATAAATATATAACTAGTTTTGCAATTTGAACGCAACAGACATAAACCACCACATAAATGACTTAACCACTTCTGACTGTCACTCTTACCATCCATGCTGCATTTATACTACTTCAACATGTCAAAACAGTTTAACAACAGCAGTTTATTTGTTTAGCCTGCCTCTTCCAGCTGATGGCCTTCAAAATATATCTTGTTATATCAATTGGCTGTGCAGCAAGTACACACAGCAAATCAAGATAAATTGTCTGTTCATCAAACACTCTACACCAGTATACGCGCTTCACAAAACCAAGTAGAATGGATAAGGGGAAAATGTTCTCAAAATGTACATTTAACTGATTCAAAAGTTAATAGGGCAGTTAGATCCAGAATCTGCCTTCCGCTAATGGAAGGATTTTGGTTGTGGAAAGGCTTCAACCCAACTCTTGGAACTAGCCCACTTCCCCCTCCAAAAACCACAGCCTCTCCCATTTTGCAGGATACCAAGACCCTTTCTGGAGCATTTTCAAGGATAAATGGAAGAGAGAAAGGGTGTTCTTAGTCCCCAACCAAGGCCCAGCCGCACATAGCTAATCTAGATAGAAACAAAAGTCAGCCCCAAAATATAAGCCACATAGAATCCTCATCTGTCTCAGAATAAAAATCAGATCGGTAGTGCATCATTTACCACTTGATGGAAATCAACTCTTTCTAAGAACATTTACATAATGCATTTTCTACTTAAGATAAACTGTTCTTACTTCTCTCCAACCCAACTATACACACACTTGAAGCCTGATACACACATACTATATACAAGGAATATTTCCAAAAGGACATTTTCTTTTTGCCTTCCCCACAAAGCTCCTCCACGGAATACACACGGACCCTCCTAAATGGCATGAAATGTGTAATGAAAGAACAAGGAGGAGGCAGAATTAGGGGGAGGCATCTGGTGCAAGTGCTGTGGTAATAGAAAACTGCAGATGTCAGACACTTGAATATTACACTTGAACTCTCTGTGACCAATTCCCAGAGGTTTAAAAATAAAAAACGATCAACTTTCTTAACCAGGATATGCAACTACGAAGTACCTAATCTCTCTCTCTCTCTCTCACACACACACACACACACACATTTATTAAGCTTCGGGAGGGGAGAGGTGTCAATTTCAATTCTACCATACAGAACAATTTCTTCATGGTTTTCATTGATAACATAGACTGTAGCGATGCTTGTATCACACACAGTCACTCGGCTCAACCGCATACACAAAGCAACATTTTGCATTGCACTGGCACAATTATGCTAATCAGACGCCAAAGGAAAAGGAATGTACTCAGCCTGCTCTTTGTCCTAAATCTGCAGAGCAAGGCATAGGATAGAGGAAAAGATTTAACAAATGCCTACTCTTTTCCAACATCATCAAATGTTTCGTGGAAAACCACTTTCTAACCTTCTGTTACTACAAAAGCACGTTCTGGACGACAGTTTTCGACAACCGAGTTCACAACAGGGGACCCACTTTAATGAACTGCCTTATGAATGTCAGTTTCCTTCCAATGGCTCTGAAAACTCTAGAAGTGCCTTATAAGATTTCACACAACAGTAAGTCTCACCATTAGCAGGTGTCAAAGCTTTCCTGTTCTACTTTTTAAAGCCTAGACTTCCTGCTCTCAGAAGGGACCTGGGTAACTTCAACTGTTCAAGTATAGACATCTGCTGAATCTCTACAACTTCATTCATACACAGTCATATGGGGGGGGGAGCAAAAAAGACCCAAGAAAGCTCTTATTCAAAATTAGTCACTGTAGCATTCTCCTATTCCTGCAGCAGCAATGCGTGCGTACACACGCACACACAGAGCACCTGGGCACTTTCAGTACATGTGGGTTTTGCTCTTTGCACAAGTGTTTTAAATAATAAGAGATCTTTTAAAATAGCCACACATTTAGTGGCTTGGTACTGGCCAGAAACATCCCAGAACACTGTCACAAAACAATAAAAAAACCCAGTCGCTTGAAGTCCAGGCTGTCAAGTGCATCAAATTAAGATGGGTATGTGAAGCAGAGAAAGAATCACGACCCTGAATGGAATTATGTTTACTCTGAAAGTTACATTTCATAGTCACTCGTTAGCAAAGGGCTCAGGAATTCTTTTGGGAAGGCCAATCTGTTTTCTATACTGGCTAGTATCTCCTTCACCTCTCACATGCATTTTTTTAAAAATCAGGTTTTCTGATGATTTTTTAAATGATTCTTGATTACTTTCATTGCATTTTAAAAACATCATTAGAAGACTGCACTTAGTCATAGATTATTTATCCCACATCTCCAATTAAGAGTTTGCATTCTGAACTGTACAGTATCATTTCCTGCAGAAACTACTCCCTACTGATCCACAGAATATCTTACCTTTTGATTTCAAAGGTTGTTCTTCCTCCTCAGTGGGTTCCGAAGGATCGTAATAGTCACTGCTATATGTGAACCCCACTGCATTATAGGTACCATCTTCTGCCAAAGCCTCGCTCAGTCTCTTATATTCTTCCTCTTGAATAAAAATGCAACGTTCAGTTAAGACCTGAACACATTTTAGTTAAAGAGTCATTTACTTGTTTTGTTTTAAATTACGTGATGGTTTAAACCTAATATTCAAGCACAAACATTAACCACAAATTCACCCCAAGGGTCATCTGCGATCACTGAGATTTCTGCCAACCCAAAAGGGGCAGAAGGTATGTACTTTGGGGAAGATCAGTCTTCTCCTGCTGAGACAAGTGTCTTAAAAGTTAAAACCAGTTCTACCAGTCACAAAGAAAATGACATGAACTTTTCATTTGATACAATACTGTTAAAGAAGATAAGTTAAAAGTGTCTCAATTCTCAGTGTGCCCTCAAAACGTGGGCAATTTCTTTGTGGGTCTACATATAACCTATCCTGAGGTCCTCTCAGATACGCAAAGACGCCTGTTTTTCGCATCCACTGGGTACTGTCAAAATAATATCAGAAAGAGTGAGTATATAATGAGCGGGAACAATACTTTTTTTAAAAAAAAATTTAAACAGTTGATTTTAAAATTGCAATTAAAATGTGTTCTAACTCAGGAAGTTGTCCTGGAGCAATACCTTGCCTTGCCTCCTCCTCAAGCAAGTCCGTACGCAAGGCTAAATACCTCTCTTCATCACAGAGGGCTTCTATTCTAGCCTCCTCTTCGGACAACTGGTAATCTCTGTTCCAGGTGGAATATTCAGCATCATATTCAGAAAGGTCATGGAGGTGACCCCGCCCATCGTACCTGCAACACGAAAAACATGGTCAATGCAAGAACTTTGGGCTTTCAGTTCTCCCACTATGCAAATACTTACCACATCAAATGGGGGAGGGGAATGATTTAATAAGTTAAAACTAGGGAAAATTTAATTTGACTAATCACTTCTTTACCCCCTTAAAATAAAGAGAGAGAAAAATCTTCCCCTTAAAGACTGACTACTATAGTTAAAGGCAAATTATTTCAAGAGTTAAAGAGAACCAATTTCTTCACAGTTCTTACCGTTCATGGTTCAACCATTCAATACCCTTGCCAAAAAAAATGCTTTTTTTTCTGCAAAGGCAAATAGCTTACATTTACACAAACCCAAATACATAAATACCTATCCGAAAGAACCAAACGGTCGCAATTTCCTCGCTTCTTTTCTGCTAGTCTTGAACTCTCAGGAGAAATCTTCACGAAAGTAACTTGCGTCCATTGGAGGTAAAATCATGGCTAGGCTCGGTCCCTAGCCATGCGGCTGAGGAAAGAAGCGCTGGGTTATGGGATAGAGAGACACACATGTATAGGAACAGTAACGTATATGCAATTTAAGGAGGTTTTCTAAAGGAGTCACTGTTATAATGCGGAGACATGCAAGTCCCCTTTACTCACACATAATTATTTTGTGGTGTGTAAACAACTATTCACCAGCTATCTTTGGGGAAAAAAAGTGAGAAACTATGCCTCAAATGAACTCTTCAATATGCCTTTTATGGGATAATTTTTCTACATGATTTGTACAAGTCTATAATTAAGTTTCTTAAATGGTGCCAGTCTAGGAAGAATCTAATTTCCTCCTAGCGATTAGGAAAAAGAAAGCTAACAGAAAACAAGTTCTGTATCCATCTGAGAACAAGCAAGTTCTCAGATGGATACTGCACACAAAATTTAACTAAGAGATGTGACAGATCAAAAACAATGCAATTAGCAGACTCTTACTAAGAAGCCTATCCTGCTAATCAGAGAAGTTGCCTCAAAGGTTTTACCAGGAACCTCTCAATACTAATTCTGTCATCTATAAGATAAAACAGGATTGTCCAAGGTTAAAATATGCTATTTTGAAGCCTTTACAATGAGCTTAAGAAGAGAGGTTAGACACCTCCATTTAGTTAACTGAGCATTTCCTTGTACAACTGAAACCAATTCGGCATCATGCTTTCATATGCAGCTGTAAAACCTCCTTAATTTACAAATATAGATTGTTTAAAGATCATGGGCATACGCAGGATTTGCTCACACCGTTGCTGTTGTTTTCACCCAAGAATTGCCAATAAAATGCCTTCTCACCAACTGGCCTCTCACCAAATGTTTCGTCACGCCTTGAAGACCAATGTATTAAATTCATATAAATTTTCATGAACTGGAGCCCAATTCATTTGATGCATGGAGAAAAACAGAATGCATTTGCAGTTAAACTAATGCTCAAGCTGGTCTGCATAAAGCAAAGTTCTCCAATCAATCTTCAGTTTAACTCTTCAACATCATTGCTAGACGGTAAAAATAAATAAATGAATGGCTCGGCGCCCAGAAATAAGATGTTCAGTGCTGTTTGATATTTAGATAAGACTTCCTATAGAAAATTCATTTTCGGGCCTCAGCAAAAATTAATTCCTTTGTACTGTGTCTAACTCCACAGACACGATCACTTCAGGAATATTTTTTTCCATCCTGAAAATTAAGGTTTCCATGTGGTGCTCAGAACCATATCAACAGATAATTTGGATGAAACAGGAACAGAAGGAGCAAACACTTACAATATGCCACAAACCCCTTTTCAAACCAAAGCCTATCAGACCTTCTTGTACTGAGCAGAATGAGGATGCTGCCACTATTTCAAAAAGTGCCAGTGCAACCTCACTGTATATTAGTACTCTTGAGACAAGCCATACCTGACTAGTACTCAGTTTTCAAGAAGACACAGAGGAAATCCTGAGACTATAATGGGAAGAGAGTGAAACTCAACCAGGTACAACAACAAAATTATGTCGGTTGCAATACAGAGAAAACCTTAATGTGAGAAGAATTTAGAAAAGCAATGATCTAAATACGTCAAATCTGTGACAATAAAGAAGGATTCCATCAAACCGTTAACCATTACAAGATGTCAGGCTTAAGATTAACAGAGGAACAACCTACTGCACCACAGTTACTTCGGAAGCAATGTTAGAAACAGTGGTTCAGGGATTCATTGACATATAAACACCAGGCCCACATGTTCTAGAAACAATCAAGTGTGTCAAAGTGGCTGGAGAATTAAGAACCACAGGTTCAGGGCTCTCTCTGGCAAAAAAAAACCTTTCTAAGAGGACTTCCAGCAACTTCCCCACATCATCTTAAACTGCCTCACAGGATTACTGCCTTCAAGGACATGCGAAACAGAAATTAAGAGAAGAGAGTAAATCTCAGTCATGAGTGTGAAGAGATCTATTACAGCGGGGGGGGGGGGAAAAATTTCTAAGAGGACTTCCAGCAACTTCCCCACATCATCTTAAGCTGCCTCACAGGATTACTGCCTTCAAGGACATGCGAAACAGGAAATAAGAGAAGAGAGTAAATCTCAGACATGAGTGTGAAGAGATCTATTACAGCGGGGGGGGGGGGCAGAAAACACCAGCAGCAACCTCAGATTCAGTGGCACAAACCATCAACTTTTAGCTATGCTGGTCTTACCGGGAGTTAAGATGAAGTGTGTGTGTCTTTCATGGTGCAGACACCATGAAACACTAATATGAAATCAAATATGCTTATCAGATACACTCCAGGATTAACTTTTCATTTAAATCCAGCTAAAAATAAGTCATGTTGTCCTTCTTCAAGTGTTTTTTTTCTTTAAAAAAATGGCAGTCTTCTTTCAGTTAAGAAAGCCATTAAGAAAGTTTGGTTTGAAAAGGAGCCTATCTCAATGCCAAAATACATATGGTTATGTGTCCCACTCCTACAAGGGGGAGGGAACCAATAATACAGCAACCCTTGGCCAGGGACCAAGGAAACACAAGTAGAGGAGGGTGTATACAGAGGCTCCTAGAATGACAAAGCAAAGGTATCTTGGGGCAAACCTAAGATCTGTATTATTATTATCTGTATTATTTCACTGTTTTTACTATATTGGAAGCCGCCTGGAGTGGTCTTTTAGACCAGATGGGCGGGGTATAAATCAAAATAAATAAATAAATAAATAAATCTCTGACACTAAAAAATCCTCAACAAAGGCTGTCAGATATTGCTACCGATTGTGTTCATGTGCTTTATCAGCAGCTTAATGAGAAGAAATCAAACAACTGTCACCTTTTCTTCTGTCCACTTGCTCTTTCTCTATAGCTCCTCTATAATAATCATCACAATCAATTCCAGAGGGAAGAAGGTGAAGACTGCTCTATTACAATGCCAGGAGGAACCTAGCAGCACCTTAAAGACTAACAGAACTGTTGTGATCTAACCAGTTTTGAAGTTAAAGCTCACTGCTTAACAATCTACATTATCATATATATAAAACCTGTCTCAACTGGCAAAGAATTACCATTTTAACTTTTCTCTTTCTGTTATTAAGGGCATTGTTCTTTATTGGCTGCTTTGCAGGTCTATTTAACCAAAATGCAGGACAAACATTTCCTAAATCCAGTATGGTACTGAAGGTGGTTTGGCAGCCTTTCTGTACACACAGACAAACGTGTTTCTGCCAGATGAGGTTAATGTGTAACAGAGCAACTGACTGTCTACATTACAAGTATATGTTAAGTGACAAAAACAATGTACGAAAAGAAACATATTTTTCTTTAAAACCATGTTAGGTTTGGGTATATAGTTTTTCTGGTATCAAAAATCCAATGGCAACAATAAAAACTGCAGAAAGCTTTATATAAACCAAATAACATAAAAATGGAAGGAACCATGGCATAACCTCTCAACTGCTCTTCCTGTACAACCCTACGCCTCTTTAGTCAGAAGGCAGAACAGGACATAACATGCTTAAAAATGCAGCCCCGATAAAAGGCTACTGAGGTATGTGATCTGGAGGATGCTGTTGCATTGACATCCTCTTCATGGGCTTGCTTTTGGGGCTTCCAGCAGGCCACGGGAATATATTACTGGACTAAACCAGCGGGTCTTATCTTGTACAGTTTTGACTCAAACTCCCAGAAACCTCTGACTGCTGTACATACTGTCTGTGGCTTTATGGGAGATGCAGTCCAACAGCATCTGCAAGTCCCCATGCTGAGAAAGACCATACTGTATTTATGTATTTGAAACTCTCATTATCATACACAAACCCTCACACTGAAACAAAACTGTTAGTCTTTAAGGTGCCGCGATACTTTTGCTTCTACCCAGTTTGGTTTTTTTATTCATTAGTAATGTTTATTTTCCCTTTTCAAAGCCCTGTATCTAACATAGCAACCCACCATGTTAATGGGCGCAACGCTCCTATTTCAAATTTTGGCAGTAACAACTGCTGTTAAGCAGAGTGGATACGAGTGAAACCAAAAGGATTTAAATCATGATTTATTTTAAATGTATTTTTGAACAAACTTAAATAAAAAACCCAATTTAGATCACTTTGAATTTTTTTTAAAAAAATCACTTATAAGTAAACTAGCTTTGAGCGTGGTGGGGAGCACAGAGCCAGAACATGTGTGTTTGCTAGCTGATTCACAGAATCATAAGAGATGGAAGGGAGCTCAAAGCAGGAATCAAAGCAGATCTGACAGAGGGTTGTCCAATTTTCTCTTGAATGTCTCTAGCACTGGAGCGCTCACCACCTCCTGAGGTCCCTGGTTGCAGTGTCGTACTGCTTTAAGACATTTTTCGTGATATTCAGCTTAAATCTGGCTTTGTGTAGCTTGAGACCATAATTACATGTCCTGCACTCTGGGGTGATCAAGAACAGATCCTGTCCCTTCTCTGTATGACTACCTTTCAAGTGTTTGAATATCTTCTCTCCGCAGAATGGTGCGGGGAGATTGCCCCCTTTCCCTATTGCCTCCTCTTTAAAAAACTCCTTTTCCTGCCTTATTCTAAAGGGATTCAAACCAGCCTCGGCTTTCTTTTTTACACCTCCTCCTGCTCGGTCTCCCGTGGCCTGCTTGGCAAAGAGTCACTGACAACGCCCCAACCCGACCCCCTCCTATTATATAAATAAATAATATATATATATATATATTTAAAAAAATGAAAACCACACACAGAACGAACGAAAGAGAGAGAGAAAAAAAGAAGGAAACATCATCCCAAAGGAAGCGATAGGCGGGCGGGGAGTTGCTTTGCACCGACCTATCGATCATGATGGAGGCGTCTCCCATCCAGGGGATGAGGTGCCGGCCTTGCTCCTGCTGGAGCGCCTTCTCGTCGTCGCGGAAGAGCTTGCAAGCGTAGCCGAAGACCAGCAGCTCCACGCGGCGTCTTCGGCACTTTCGTCAGAGAGGATCAAAAATACTGTACTGTGGATTCACCAATAATAATAAAAATAAAAATAAACAGAAGAAATTCGGAGAGTTTGGGGGAGGGGGAAAAGGGAATTTTCCGTCTCGAAGGGTACGAAAGGGAAATTTTTAAAAAAAGTTGAGGGAAACGGTGACGAATATGCTAACTCGAATCGTAAGGCGGCGCAAGGGTGGGAATCCGTCAGTGGGTGGAGGAGGAATGTCAGTTTTTAAATAGAGGTGGAGGAGCAGTAACGGGGGTTGGAAGCGTTACTTTTCGCGTTTGTAGTTCCCGAAAAGTAACGTTTCCAACTTCTTCAAAGGAATATATTTCTGTACTTTGCGTCTTATCATGTTAGTTGAGGCTAACAGCCTGCCCAACCTGGTACCTTTTAGATTTGCTGGACTACAGCTCCCACGTAGCCTGACTGGGGACGATGGAAATTTGGAAAGTAGCAGCTTTCTCTGAGGGAGGCTAGTCTGTGCTTAGCCACTCTGGGCTTTTTTTTCCTGTCGATTTTATTTTTCGCAAATAAAAAGTAGAATAAAACGGGTACCTGGTTTTTCTCAAAAGCCCTTTTCGGTTTTTAAAATTTATTTTCTTTGGATCACAAATAATGACATTGCAAAGAAATAACAGCAATGTGGCTATTTTTTTTTCTTTGTTGTTGCTGCTCCTGTGAATAGCGGTCAAAAACCTAAATCTGGTAGTTCTGAATAGAACCATTGGATCACTGGGCTTTGCATAAATCCTCATTCCGTAATTGATTGAACAGAGACTCATAACTGGAAGTAGCTGAATTTGAAGAAAAATAATTCAACAGGAGTTTTATTATTAGAGTCATTCCAGCCTATTTATTTATTTATTTATTTATTTATTTATTTATTTATTCAATTT